CTTCGGAATATTGTGTATTGTTGTCATTATTTGGCGATTGCATGCGAAGAGTTAAAAGTTCATCTAAAGTTCCATCATCTGTTCTTTTTATATTATCATTAACTAAACGCGATATTAAGTCATTTTTATTTCCATTGGGCGAAAGATTTCTTAAACGCAATCTGATTTTAACTGGGCGACAGTTAAATGAGTCAGTCGTTCCACATTCAAGGCATTTAAAACAGAATTCACGTCTGTTGACATCATGGCGAGAAAAGTGCAGCGAATCTGTTTTGGCGACGTATGTTTGGCGAGAAGAAATCAGTATGTAATGGAATCCAATTTTCAAATTTTTTCCCCCCGGTTAAATATGTTATTTTTTGTCAAAATAGGTTTACCTGGGCGAGTTTCAGCCAATGATGAATACTTTTTTGCTTCGTTGGCAGTCAAAATTTCATGGAAAGAATTTAAAATGTAGCGATAGAAGAAGTTCGATGATCAAAGAAGAAGTTTTAAAAAGGTTCTTTTTTAAAAAGACGGCTGCGCCATATAAGATAAAGTTGAATGACAAGGAATTTAATTAATATGCAATACAGTAAATAAGCGAAGAGATATTTCATAAAAGTATTTAATGAAAAATAATAACAGCGAAATATATGTTTTTGCGAAGCGTTCTATTTACATCTCTGAATGTTGCCATCTTTGATTTGAAAGTTAAACTATTCTTATGCGAAATTTGTTCCGTTGTCACTGTATACAACACTCGGTCGTCCTCGACGAGCGATGAATCTTCTTAAGCAGAGTAAGAAGTCTTTGGTAGACAACGAACTGACCAATTCTAAGTGTACAGCTCTGAACACCGCACACGTGAAAAGCACAAGCCAGCTCTTTTACCCACTTTTCAATATCAAAGGACCAGCCAAATCTGCTCCTACAATTTCAAAAACTGAAGCGTCCTCTTCTGTTTTCTTCACTGCTTTTGGTAAGTAAAAGTGTTGAACAGTTGTGTATTTCTAGGCGTACTTCTTCCTCATTTGTCCTCAACTCTATACTTGGCCAACCTCCTACGGTGCTCTGAGCCAATGTGGTCCCTCCCACCATCTAGATTTCATAAGCTTTTCCACAGAACACCCCCGGGAAGGCAGATCCGCTGGGTTGCAATCACCTGGAATGTGTCTCCATCTCTCCTTTGTGTATGTCTTAAGGATTTCCTTGACCCTGTTCCTCACAAACACACCCCAGGATTCTTCCCCTCTTCCCTTTGAATCCACTGCAACGCAATAGTTGAGTCCGTCCAAAAGAATTCCTTAAGGGTTAGATTCAAGTTTCTCCGTACTAAATCAGCCAAACGTGTGCCAATACAGCAGGCTAAAAGTTCTAACCTAGGTATAGAAATCTTCTTTAATGGTGCCACTTTGGAGTTTTAGCCATCAATAACATGTACCGAAGTATTTTCATCTGTCTCACATCTCAAATAAACTACAGCAGCATAAGATAAGCCACTTGCATCGCAAAAGGTATGTAATTCTGACTTCAAATAATTATCAGGAAGCACTTGTCTTTTTATTTTTAAATCTTTTAGTTTCTTCATTTCTCCAATCCAATTTAGAACTTTGAGCTATGTAACTTCACAAACCTCAGTATCCCCGCCTAATTCGGACCTGCAACTCTCTTGCATCGAATACTTGCTGAGCCATGGAAAGAATGAACCTTCTACTTATCTTTTCTGGATAGTTTGAAATGGATTGAGTATCACAAAAAATAACATCTTCATTCTTGTCCCATAGTAAACCTAAAACTTGTGATGGGACCATAGGAACACTTGAACGTTTAACAGTAGAATATTCCCATCCTCTCAACCCGAACTTTCCTTTGACCATGATCTCTGTAGACACTTTTACAAATCTTTGTAATTCATTTTCAGAACTAACTGAAGTAACACAGTTATCCACATAGTAAGCAGATTTAAGTGTCTCTGAAGCATCTTGATATGGAGAAAATGCAAATGAATTTAAATGATTTCTTAAAACAGCACCCAGTAAACGAACTTTTTTTCTTCATCTACCTACCATAAGAATTTCAAATACTTGCGATCCTCTTCTGCTAATGAAATTTGCAAAAACGCCCTCTTAATGTCAGCAACAACTCCAATTTTTTTCTGTCTGAATTTAAGAAGAGTAGTTGGGATGTCTTCGAGCAAGTTTGGACCTTTCATTAAGCAGTCATTTAACGAATTAGTCATTTAACGATCAAGCAGTCATTTAACGATTAATGGAATTGAATCGTGAACATTTTCGTGCCATTATTTTTCATAACTTTCGACGTGGATTGTCAAGACAAGAGTGCTTCGATGAACTTAATTTTTTATTCAGCGATAAAGCGCCATCTTACAGCACTGTAAAAAAATTGGAATAACGAATTTAATCGTGGTCGATGTTCGATCCAGGACGAATCCCGTGCAGGTCGTCCAAAATCCGTTGTTGTGCCAGAAAAGATCGATGCTGTGCGTGAACTGATAAAGCAAGATCGTCATGTGACATACCGTGAGATAGAGGCGTCTTTGGACATTAGTATGACTAGCATTAATTAAATATTGCATGAACATTTGAGCGTAAAAAAATTTGTTCGCGTTGAATCCCGCATAATCTGACAAACGCTCAAAAAAAGGCTCGTATCGATTGGTGCAAGGAAATGTTGGAAAAATACGTTCAAGGTACATCAAAGGCTGTGTATAACATCTACACAGGTAACGAATCATGGATCTATGCATATGAGCCGGAAACAAAACAGCAATCAACTGTATGGGTCTTCCAAGACGAGGCAAAACCAACAAAAGTTGTTCGAGGAAGAAGCACATCGAAAAAAATGATTGCCTGTTTCTTTGACATTAACGGTCATGTGGCAACAGTGGCGTTAGAGCAACGCAGGACGGTCATTTCTGAATGGTACACGACCATTTGTTTGCCAGAAGTCATGGGACAAATTCGAAAAAAGCAGAAGAACAGGCGAATCATTCTTCATCATGACAATGCGAGCTCTCACACCTCGACTCAAACAAAGGCATTTCTGACGGAGCGAACGATCGAACTGATGGGTCATCCGCCGTACAGCCCTGATTTGGCACCCAATGACTTCTTCTTATTCCCACACATCAAAAATAAATTACGTGAACAACGATTTTCGACCCCCGAAGAAGCGGTTGATGCATTCAAAACGCATGTTTTGGAGTTACCTCAATCGGACTGGAAAAAGTGCTTTGAAAATTGGTTCAACCGCATGCAAAAGTGTATTGATCATCATGGAGAATATTTTGAAAAACAATAAAACCAATTTCAATCCTACATATTTGTTTTTTCATTATTAGGCCAGAAATATAAATAGCAACCCTCGTATCCATCTTATTCTTTAAATTTCTTGCATTTTTAACGACAAGTTTCCGAACACAATATTCAATTAAAAGTTCCTCTCGGCCAAACCTTGGTTTCAAACTCGAGTCAGTAATAATTAGCAGTGAATGCGTTTATTAGCGAATCACTGAAAGGCTTTTTAGTTAATGGTCGAAGCGAAAATGAGTTTATAAATGTGCAAAAATGTCTATAAATCTATATATTATAATTCGGCAGTCGACGATGGCAATTTTTTATTTTTCATTATAATTTTTAACAAAATGGCGTAGATTGAATGGAAAATACCTTCAAAATATTATTTAAGCATTTTCAAATATTATTAAGAAAGAAATATTTAAAAATTCATAAGAACAACTTAAAAGTTCTTTTTCCAAACTAGTAAATAAATTTAAGTGTTTTTTTTAAACACTCTCACTACAAGTACTGAACATTCTTTTAGCAAAATAATAGCTATAAAAACCTATTTAAGGTATATTCTATGGCAATAATTTTTAACAAAAATGAAACCGCAGAGACAATTGATTTTGAAGTCTTTTGAATTGTTTGCGCCAGCTAAAAAAAAGAAAAAGTACATTTTAATGTTTATGCTTATAAATTTGTATGTCATAAGAGATAATGCTCATTAAAAATATTGCTTTTAATTAATGTTTATTCTAGAATACTTGTGGTGATATTCTCATCAATTAAACTGACAGCTTTTCCTTTTTATCCTTAAAATCGATAATTTTTATTTAATTTCTTCATTTGTTTCTTAAATCAACATTTAAGGCTAATATAGATATTATAATTTTCTTGTAAAAATATTGTAATTTAAAATATAAAAAGCAATTTTATACAGCGTCATAACTACACGAGCGAGACAATTTAAGGGGTCAAAATAAGTATTTTTTCTTTTAATTTAGATTATTTTTCCAAAATTGAGTTAAGGGCGCCTGGCGCCGTTTCCAGGATCGCCCAGGGCATGCGTTGGCACTGACAGTAGTGTTTTCGAAATCTATTAAATTTAAGATGTTTGTAAAGCCTTGTGATGTCAAACTAGGCATTACATATTTCCTCCCAGCTTTTAAAATTTCTTTAATTTCTTAAATTAATTTTTTTAATCATTCTTAATTGAATTTTAATTAAATTACATTTACATTACATTTAAATTACATTATTACATTTAAAAAGCTAATATAAAATATTCTATTCTTTTCTTAACAATCAATGTAACGGCTAACTTTTTATTTGAATACTAATGTAAGACTATTTAATTTACTGTCGCTACTAAATCGAAAACTAAAATCTATTTATAACTCTTTATTCCTTACCACAAAAATTTTTTTCAGTTACATGGTTATACTTATTCTCCCAGTCTTTTTGGCGATTCGCTTTCACCAAATTACTTTCAAATTTAGTATTGATTATGTGGGGTTGACTTTATTTTCAGTTATGTTATCTTTCGATAAATTGCAAACCATGCTCCTAACTGTCTGTTGGGTAACAATTCATTTACTTTTAATTTCGAAATTCTTGATGTTAAGAGAATGATTTTCTTGATCCCTTTGAGGAACTTTTCTTTATTTTCATAATTAAGGAATGTGACCATGTTCAACATAAGATTTATACAATAAATAAATTTTTCCTATGCGATTTTATTCATTTTTTCTGGGATATATATCCCTACATCATATCCAAATTAAAATGTATCTGAAACGTTCATAATACTTGAATTCTACAAAGAAACTAAATACTACCAACCACTATTGAAAAGAATTTGTACTAAACTATTACAATAAGCCTCAATATAACAAATATTTCTGTAAATTAAGGGAAAAATTGAAATATAAAAAATGTTAGCATGCGTTTCAACAAATTCTTCATGAAATTATGTCACATTGTTTGAAGTTATTGCCCGTCTTCTTTTCGCTAAATGAGGGACGAAGTAAATGATGAATCCAGAGAAAAAGGAAATACCCGTTAGAGTGTACATAACGCCATCGTAAGATCCATGCTCTTCTCTGAAATAACCTAAAAATAAAATATAACATTAAAAAATAATCCGTTCATAAATATAATAAAAAGTGCAACTCTAAAATTAAGTTGAATTTTAACGGTGACATCGTATCTAGTGTTAGTAACCTTGACAAGTTTTTTCTACCTAAACTTAATGAAAAAAGCTTGTCCGGTTGTTTATCCGAAAATCGGATATCTAAAACGTTTATCCGAAAATGTTTATTCATATCCGAGAGAAAAATTCTAGCAATAAAGAATTTAAAAAGTGTTGCAATCAGTGAAGCACGAAACGATGTATTAAAACACGAAAAGATGTATTAAAACACGAAATACAACCGCCCCAACCCAGGTTGGGCATTTGAGAGATCTCATTTAAACAGAGAGTGTTAACTTTACGAGTTTTTGATGCAACTTAAAATTAACTTTAATATTTGGAATTTTTGTCAAAAATGAAGTAATCATTAACACATTAAGGTTCGTAAATTATTTAAGCGAGGGGAAAAAACAAACAAAAATATTATTGAGAATATAATCACTATTGAGGATGTTCAGTTAATTTTGTTAAAAACTATGTACTGAAAAATCATTTATTTATCAGTTATTTTATCACAAGCGACTAGGGGAAGGACGATTCCATAATGTTAAAAACTTAGAGTTTCGTCGGAAAAGTGAAAATAGGGAAAGAGGGAAATTACACTGAGAATATTGGGGATTTTTTTGTTCGCTTCCTTGGCGTATTGGTTAAATTTCAAAGGTTTACCGTCACCGTTCGCATTTGTTTTTATGTTTATTTTTTGCGACGTTTGCTGTCATTTTCGAACTCGTATAAAATATGTTATTTGTTGAATTTTTTCGTTATGTCTTTGTTTTTATTATTGTTATCTGTTTTGCTTTTGTTTTTAATTTCTTTTTTACTTTAAAGTTAGTTAGATCTTAATATATGTATGTTGCCGGCATTGTATAGAATACTGGATGTTTTTAGGCAAAGTAGGAAATGTGAGAATTATACCGG